CAGCCGCGGGAAGCCGGGCGGGTGCGCCTGGCTGACCGCCTTCGCTTGTCCATCGGTGCGTGCACAGCTGGAATGCGCGCGCTCCGAGGCCAGGGAGGCCCTGAGCGCCCTGCGGAGGCTGCAGCGGCGGGTTTCGGAGCTGGAGGAGGAGTCACGCCTGCAGGACGCCGACACATCGGGGGCCTCGCTGCAGTCAGAGCTGGCCCACAGCCTGGACAGCGACCAGAGCCAGAACCAGAACGCAGATGGGCACAGAGACGCCCCGGTGAGCTCGAAGCCCCGCAGCCATCCAGGAGGGCTGCAGACTGCACCCCGCTTCCTTTTCCCACGGGGTTCAACACCTCACTGACTGATTCCTTTGGTGAACAGACCACTCTGCCCTCGGAGACCCAGGGGGGATCCAGTCAACAGCCTTCATCCCAGGAGGAGAGCTTGGAGCCTCCCATGAAGAGAGCATCCCTGAGCCCAGGAGAGATACTGGAGGAGAAGGAGATGGAAGTGGCCCGGCTGCAGGATGAGGTGGGGAGGAGGACATAGCACTGGGTGTAGAGCCCTTCTCAATGTGTTTCTCTTTCCATCTATAACTCAGCCTTTTTCCACTAATGCCCCTCTACCTGGATAATCTTTCATCCCAACAAACTTGCAGTCATGCTTGAAAAGCCTGCCTGGCCCTGGGCAGTTTTGCTCAGTGATTACGGCCCTGGCCTGTGCACTAAAAGGTCGTGGGTTCGATTCCAGGTCAAAGGCACATTCCTGGGTTGCAGGTTCAATCCCTGACCCCTATCAGTATGGGTATGGGAAGCAACCAGTCAATGTATCTCGCTCACACTGAAGTTTCTCTCTCTCCCCCTCTCCCGCCCTCCCTAAAAAAAGCGGGGGGGGGAGAATATACTTGGTGAGTATTTAAAAAAAAAGATCAGCCTGTTTGCCACCTCCTCCAGGATGACTTCCTGGATGCACTGCCCCTTAGTCCCACCTCCCAATGCTTCTCCATGCACCCTTCCTGCAGGTTTACACCATCCAAGTAGCCCCACACCAGCCTGGGGGCTCAGAAGATTCATCTCCAGCACAGGGCCACAGCTGCCTGGGGTGTTTGTGGAGCAGGCAAGGGAAGGGCGGTGGGAGACCTGACGCCCAGGCTGCCAAGGAGAGCAACGGCTTGGAGACCCAGAGGCCTACTTGCCTCTCTGCCTCCTTCCCTGCCTGCAGATCGCGCTTCAGCGGGCAGAGCTCCAGTTGCTGCGGGAGGAGCTGCAGAGGCAGAAGGAGCTGCGGGAACAGGAGGACCCCGAGGAGGCCCTGAGCTGCGCCCTCTCGGACAGGGAAACGGCTGTGAACAAGTGAGCCTGCCTCCGCCGTTCACCACCTCCCCAGCGGGGCTAAAGGTCCCCAGCAGGGCACTCCGGTCCTGCTAGGCCTCACTGGGGACATGGGTTCGTTTCGGTGTTCCGGGTCCCACTCCCGCCCGGG